GGTTTGATACCATGGTGATGGGCATTGATAGGGAAAGATTTTGGATCAGGGTGATGGGTAGAGATATGGAAGGATTTGGATCAATGTGATGGGTAGAGATATGGAAAGATTTTGAATCAATGTGATAAGACTTGGGATAAGGGTGATGGGTAGAGATAGGGTAAGACTTGGGATCAGGGTGATGGGTAGAGATAGGGTAAGACTTGGGATCAGGGTGATGGGTAGTGATAGGGAAAGATTTTGGATCAGGGTGATGGGTAGAGATAGGGTAAGACTTGGGATCAGGGTGATGGGTAGAGATAGGGATAGACTTGGGATCAGGGTGATGGGTAGAGATAGGGAAAGATTTTGGATCAATGTGATGGATAGAGATAGGGTAAGACTTGGGATCAGGGTGATGGGTAGAGATAGGGAAAGATTTTGGATCAGGGTGATGGGTAGAGATAGGGTAAGACTTGGGATCAGGGTGATGGGTAGAGATAGGGAAAGATTTTGGATCAGGGTGATGGTTAGAGATAGGGAAAGATTTTGGATCAGTGTGATGGGTAGAGATAGGGTAAGACTTGGAATCAGGGTGATGGGTAGAGATAGGGTAAGACTTGGCACCATGCTGATGGATAGAGATAGGGTAAGACTTGGCACCATGGTGATGGATATAGATGGGGTAAAATTTGGGATCATGGTGATGGGCAGAGATAGGGAAAGGTTTGATATCATGGTGATGGGCATTGATAGGGAAAGATTTTGGATCAGGGTGATGGGTAGAGATATGGCAAGATTTGGATCAATGTGATGGGTAGGGATATGGAAAGATTTTGAATCAATGTGATAAGACTTGGGATAAGGGTGATGGGTAGAGATAGGGTAAGACTTGGGATCAGGGTAATGGGTAGAGATAGGGTTAGACTTGGGATCAGGGTGATGGGTAGTGATAGGGAAAGATTTTGGATCAGGGTGATGGGTAGAGATAGGGTAAGACTTGGGATCAGGGTGATGGGTAGAGATAGGGAAAGATTTTGGATCAGTGTGATGGGTAGAGATAGGGAAAGATTTTGGATCAGGGTGATGGGTAGAGATAGGGTAAGACTTGGGATCAGGGTGATGGGTAGAGATAGGGAAAGATTTTGGATCAGGGTGATGGGTAGAGATAGGGAAAGATTTTGGATCAGTGTGATGGGTAGAGATAGGGTAAGACTCGGGATCAGGGTGATGGGTAGAGATAGGGTAAGACTTGGGATCAGGGTGATTGGTAGAGATATGGGAAGATTTTGGATCAATGTGATGGGTAGAGATAGGGTAAGACTTGGGATCAGGGTGATGGGTAGAGATAAGATAAGACTTGGGAATATTGTGATGGGTAGAGATAGGGTAAGACTTGGGATCAGGGTAATGGGTAGAGATAGGGTAAGACTTGGAATCAGGGTGATGGGTAGAGATAGGGTAAGACTTGGCACCATGCTGATGGATAGAGATAGGGTTAGACTCGGGATCAGGGTGATGGGTAGAGATAGGGTAAGACTTGGGATCAGGGTGATGGGTAGAGATAGGGTAAGACTTGGGATCAATGTGATGGGTAGTGATAGGGTAAGACTTGGGATCAGGGTGATGTGTAGAGATCGGGTAAGACTTGGGATCAGGGTGATGGGTAGAGATATGGGAAGATTTTGGATCAGTGTGATGGGTAGAGATAAGATAAGTCTTGGGATCAGGGTGATGGGTAGAGATAGGGTAAGACTTTGGATCAGGGTGATGGGTAGAGATAGGGTAAGACTCGGGATCAGGGTGATGGGTAGAGATAGGGTAAGACTTGGGATCAGAGTGATAGGTAGAGATAGGGTAAGACTTGGGATCAATGTGATGGGTAGTGATAGGTTAAGACTTGGGATCAGGGTGATGGGTAGAGATAGGGTAAGACTTGGGATCAGGGTGATGGGTAGAGATATGGGAAGATTTTGGATCAATGTGATGGGTAGAGATAGGGTAAGACTTGGGATCAGGGTGATGGGTAGAGATAAGGTAAGACTTGGGAATATTGTGATGGGTAGAGATAGGGTAAGACTTGGGATCAGGGCAATGGGTAGAGATAGGGTTAGACTTGGAATCAGGGTGATGGGTAGAGATAGGGAAAGTCTTTTGATCAGGGTGATGGATAGAGATAGGGTAAGACTTGGGATCAGGGTGATGGGTAGTGATAGGGAAAGATTTTGGATCAGGGTGAAGGGTAGAGATAGGGATAGACTTGGGATCAGGGTGATGGGTAGAGATAGAGGGAAAGATTTTGGATCAGGGGTGATGGGTATAGATAGGGTAAGACTTGGGATCAGGGTGATGGGTAGAGATGGGGAAAGATTTTGGATCAGGGTGATGGGTAGAGATAGGGGAAAGATTTTGGATCAGTGTGATGGGTAGAGATAGGGTAAGACTTGGAATCAGGGTGATGGGTAGAGATAGGGTAAGACTTGGCACCATGCTGATGGATAGAATAGGGTAAGACTTGGCACCATGGTGATGGATATAGATGGGGTAAAATTTGGGATCAGGGTGATGGGCAGAGATAGGGAAAAGGTTTGATATCATGGTGATGGGCATTGATAGGGAAAGATTTTTGGATCAGGGTGATGGGTAGAGATATGGAAAGATTTGGATCAATGTGATGGGTAGGGATATGGAAAGATTTTGAATCAATGTGATAAGACTTGGGATAAGGGTGATGGGTAGAGATAGGGTAAGACTTGGGATCAGGGTAATGGGTAGAGATAGGGTTAGACTTGGGATCAGGGTGATGGGTAGTGATAGGGAAAGATTTTGGATCAGGGTGATGGGTAGAGATAGGATAAGACTTGGGATCAGGGTGATGGGTAGAGATAGGGTAAGACTTGGGATCAATGTGATGGGTAGAGATAGGGAAAGATTTTGGATCAGTGTGATGGGTAGAGATAGGGAAAGATTTTGGATCAGGGTGATGGGTAGAGATAGGGTAAGACTTGGGATCAGGGTGATGGGTAGAGATAGGGAAAGATTTTGGATCAGGGTGATGGGTAGAGATAGGGAAAGATTTTGGATCAGTGTGATGGGTAGAGATAGGGTAAGACTCGGGATCAGGGTGATAGGTAGAGATAGGGTAAGACTTGGGATCAGGGTGATGGGTAGAGATAGGGTAAGACTTGGGATCAATGTGATGGGTAGTGATAGGGTAAGACTTGGGATCAGGGTGATGTGTAGAGATAGGGTAAGACTTGGGATCAGGGTGATGGGTAGAGATATGGGAAGATTTTGGATCAATGTGATGGGTAGAGATAGGGTAAGACTTGGGATCAGGGTGATGGGTAGAGATAGGGTAAGACTTGGGATCAGGGTGATGGGTAGAGATAGGGTAAGACTCGGGATCAGGGTGATGGGTAGAGATAGGGTAAGACTTGGGATCAGGGTGATAGGTAGAGATAGGGTTAAGACTTGGGATCAATGTGATGGGTAGTGATAGGTTAAGACTTGGGATCAGGGTGATGGGTAGAGATAGGGTAAGACTTGGGATCAGGGTGATGGGTAGAGATATGGGAAGATTTTGGATCAATGTGATGGGTAGAGATAGGGTAAGACTTGGGATCAGGGTCATGGGTAGAGATAAGGTAAGACTTGGGAATATTGTGATGGGTTGTGATAGGTTAAGACTTGGGATCAGGGTGATGGGTAGAGATAGGGTAAGACTTGGGATCAGGGTGATAGGTAGAGATAGGGAAAGATTTTGGATCAATGTGATGGGTACAGATAGGGTAAGACTTGGGATCATGGTGATGGTTAGAGATAGGGAATGATTTTGGATCAATGTGATGGGTAGAGATAGGGTAAGACTTGGGATCAGGGTGATGGGTAGAGATATGGGAAGATTTTGGATCAATGTGATGGGTAGAGATAGGGTAAGACTTGGGATCAGTGTGATGGGTAGAGATAGGGTAAGACTTGGGATCAGGGGGATGGTTAGAGATAGGGAAAGATTTTGAATCAATGTGATGGGTAGAGATAGGGTAAGACTTGGGATCAGGGTGATGGGTAGAGATATGGGAAGATTTTGGATCAATGTGATGGGTAGAGATAGGGTAAGACTTGGGATCAGGGTGATGGGTAGAGATAGGGCAAGACTTGGGATCAGGGTGATGGGTAGAGATATGGAAAGATTTTGGATCAATGTGATGGGTAGTGATAGGGTAAGACTTGGGATCAGGGTGATGGGCATTGATAGGGTTAGACTTGGGATCAAGCTGATGGGTGGTGGATGGGGGAAGACTCGGTGTGATGCCTTGGAATTTAACAATGCATATATTCATTTCCAGGTTTATATCTGTCTGGGAGCATGTATCAGTGCGGTATTTATGTGGTTGATGTAGACACAGCAGTACGCAGGTAATAATCGCGTTAGTTCCAACACATGTTGCACGTTATATTTGTGATGTTCCCTTTGATCTGTTCCAGCGTTCGACTCCAGTGGGCGTCCATTCTTCCAGCACCGGCGCGATCACAGCTGGTGCTGCCATTATTCTTCCAGCGCCAGATACTATGGAACGGCTACAAGGTCTCGGGTTATTTCTGAATTCAAGTGACACACAAGCAAACAATAGGCATGTTTAACAACGCACTAGTTAGATGCTATCAGCATAGACTCATCAAGGTTCATTCACAATAGAGATAGATAAGATGTACGTCAGTTCTGGTCGGGATTGATCAGTTTGCTATTAGTTCCAAGCAAGTATTTAGCACGACACACTGAAATCATCCGTCCCTTCATTCACTGGAAGCTTTGTTAAACATAACAAATAAAATACTTGAATTGTCAATGTTGATATCGAAATATTACTCTGTCGATCCTTGTTTTTAGTAGTGCAGGTGACAATTGAATCGTGTTGAAACTGATCTAAATAATTGATTAAAATCTTATCAATTCAATGTCTACACGTCCATTAAAACGCCTGTATTTTAATCAAATTGAAATCAAACCAACGTGTTACGAAGCTCCGTAATTTGTATTAATGTGATTCATAATATGCTGTTCTGTTAGAAGCTCAGGCACAAAGATAGTATCAATTTCTTCATTTCGTCATCTGCTCTGTTTTGCCCAAACTGAGGTATTCTTCCAACATGTTTCCCCACCCTACACATCAAATCCGCGTTTCCACCCGACATTACAAACCCGACGTTTCAAGCCGACATTACAGACCCGACGTTCACACCCAACACCACAAACCTGCGCTTCCACCAATCACCACAAACTCGTGCTTCAACCTAACAAAACAAACACGTGCTTCCACCCGACACTACACACCCCACGTTCACACCCATCACCACAAACTCGTGCTTCAGCGCAACACCACAAACCCGTGCTCCACCCGACACTACAGACCCGACGTTCATACCCATCACCACAAACTCGTGCTTCAGCCCAACACCACAAACCTGCGCTTCAACCCAACGCGACCGCCTCCGTGGTGTAGTGGTTAGAGCGCCCGCCCGGAGACCGGAAGGTCGCGGATTCGATCCCCGACCGCGTCGTACCAAAAGACTTTAAAATATGGTACTTGTTGGTCCCTGCCTTGCGCTCGGCATTAATGGGTACAACAAGGACTGGTCGGCTCGGAGTCAGTATAATGTGTCTGAGTGGGGTATTCATGCTTCACTGCGGCATGGTATCTCAGTGGGCTAGCACTATAAAACCAGCTTAAGTCTGGGCTAGTACAAGCAGCCGCACATACACATTACACACGCATGCACGTCGTCATATGAGCAAAATATTCTCAAGCACGACGAAAAAACCGAATTTCACCTCACCTCACCACAACCCAACACCACAAACCTGCGCTTCCACCCAACACCACAAACCTGCGCTTCCAACCGACACTACAGACCCGACGTTCACACCCAACACCACAAACCTGCGCTTCCACCCAACACCACAAACCTGCGCTTCCAACCGACACTACAGACCCGACGTTCACACCCAACACCACAAACCTGCGCTTCCACCCAACACCACAAACCTGCGCTTCCACCCGACACTACAGACCCGACGTTCACACCCAACACCACAAACCTGCGCTTCCACCCAACACCACAAACCTGCACTTCCACCCGACACTACAGACCCGACGTTCACACCCAACACCACAAACCTGCGCTTCCACCCGACACCACAAACCTGCACTTCCACCCGACACTACAGACCCGACGTTCACACCCAACACCACAAACCTGCGCTTCCACCCAACACCACAAACCCGTGCTTCCTCCCGACACTACAGACCCGACGTTCACACCCAACACCACAAACCTGCGCTTCCACCCAACACCACAAAGCCGTGCTTCCACCCGACACTAGAGACCCGACGTTCACACCCATAAAAGAATCAACGAAACTGTAGTACAGAACAACATACTTACATAAGGGTCATCGAAACAAACAGCACTGAACAACATAGTGACATAACAACATTAATACCCTTCCACAGTGAAAATGTGAATACATTACAAACACCTCCACAGTGAAAATGTGAATACATTACAACACTTTCACAGTCAAAATGTAAACACATTGCAAACACTCCACAGTCAAAATGTGAACACTTAACAAACACTTTCAGACAAAATGTAAATACATTACAAACACTTCCATTGTCAGTATGTTAATACGGTTGCAAGAACACTTTCACGGTCAAAGATGTGGATACATTACAAACCCTTTCACAGTCAAAATGTGAACACATTACAAACTTCCACAGTCAAAATGTGAATACATTACAAACACTTTCATAGTCAATATGCGAACACATTACAACACTTTCATAGTCAAAATGTGAACACATTACAACACTTTACAGTCAAAAATGTGAATACATTTACAAACACTTTTCATAGTCAATATGCGAGACACATTTACAAGCACTTTCATAGTCAAAATGTGAGACATTATTACAACACTTTCACAGTCAAATGTGAAATAGCATTACAAACACTTCCATTGTCAAGATGTGAGACACGATTTACAAAGACTTTCTATAGTCATCATGTGAATACATTACAACACATTTCAATATGTTAATTCATTTTTGTCACGGTCAAAATGTGAAATACGTTACAAACCTCCTTTCACAGTCAAAATGTGAATACATTTACAACAACACTTCCACAGTCAAAATGTGAATACATTACAAACACTTTCATAGTCAATATGCAAACACATTACAACACTTTCATAGTCAAAATGTGAACACATTACAACACTTTACAGTCAAAATGTGAATACATTTACACAAACACTTCCATAGTCAAAATGTGAACACATTACAAAAGACTTTCATAGTCATAGAATACATTACACACTTCCATTGTCAATATGAATACATTACAACACTTTCACAGTCAAAATGTGACATTACAAAACATTCCACAGTTAAAATATGAATACATTACAAACACTTCCACAGTCAAAATTGAACACATTGCCAACACTCCACAGTCAAAATGTGAACACTTAACAAACACTTTCAGACAAAATGTAAATACATTACAAACACTTTCACAGTCGAAATGTGAACACATTACAACCACTTCCACAGTCAAAATGTTAATACATTACAACACTTTCACAGTCAAAATGTGAACACATTACAACACTTTACAGTCAAAATGTGAATACATTACAAACACTTTCATAGTCAATATGCGAACACATTACAACACTTTCATAGTCAAAATGTGAACACATTACAACACTTTACAGTCAAAATGTGAATACATTACAAACACTTCCATAGTCAAAATGTGAACACATTACAAAGACTTTCATAGTCAATATGTGAATACATTACAACACTTCCATTGTCAATATGTTAATACATTGCAAACACTTTCACGGTCAAAATGTGAATACATTACAAACCCTTTCACAGTCAAAATGTGAACACATTACAACACTTCCACAGTCAAAATGTGAATACATTACAAACACTTTCATAGTCAATATGCGAACACATTACAACACTTTCATAGTCAAAATGTGAACACATTACAACACTTTACAGTCAAAATGTGAATACATTACAAACACTTTCATAGTCAATATGCGAACACATTACAACACTTTCATAGTCAAAATGTGAACACATTACAACACTTTACAGTCAAAATGTGAATACATTACAAACACTTCCATAGTCAAAATGTGAACACATTACAAAGACTTTCATAGTCAATATGTGAATACATTACAACACTTCCATTGTCAATATGTTAATACATTGCAAACACTTTCACGGTCAAAATGTGAATACATTACAAACCCTTTCACAGTCAAAATGTGAATACATTACAACACTTCCACAGTCAAAATGTGAATACATTACAAACACTTTCATAGTCAATATGCGAACACATTACAACACTTTCATAGTCAAAATGTGAACACATTACAACACTTTACATTCAAAATGTGAATACATTACAAACACTTCCATAGTCAAAATGTGAACACATTACAAAGACTTTCATAGTCAATATGTGAATACATTACAACACTTCCATTGTCAATATGTTAATACATTATAACACTTTCACAGTCAAAATGTGAACACATTACAAACACTTCCACAGTTAAAATATGAACACATTACAAACACTTCCACAGTCAAAATGGGAACACATTACAACACTTTCACAGTCAATATGTGAATACATTACAAACACTTCCATAGTCAAAATGTAAATACATTACAAACAGTTTCACAGTCAAAATGTGAACACATTACAAACACTTCCACAGTCAAAATGTGAACACATTACAACACTTTCACAGTCAAAATGTGAATACATTACAACACTTTCACAGTCAAAATGTGAACACATTACAAACACTACCACGTTCAAAATGTGAATACATTGCAAACACTTCCATAGTCAAAATGTGAATACATTACAAACACTTCCACGTTCAAAATGTGAATACATTACAAACACTTCCATAGTCAAAATGTGAATACATTACAAACACTTCCACGTTCTACAAACAGTCAAAACGTGAATACATTACAAACACGTCCACGGTCAAAATGTGAACACATTACAAACACGTCCATAGTCAAAATGTGAACACATTACTACACCTTTCACAGTCAAAATGTGAACACATTACAAACACTTTCATAGTCAAAATGTGAACACATTACAACACTTTCATGGTCAAAATGTGAACACATTACAACACTTTACACAGTCAAAATGTGAATACATTACAAACATTACAAACACATTTCAGTCAAAATGTGAACACATTACAACACTTTACACAGTCAAAATATGAACACATTACAAACACTTCCACGGTCAAAATGTGAACACATTACAACACTTTCATGGTCAAAATGTGAACACATTACAACACTTTACACAGTCAAAATGTGAATACATTAGAGACACTTCCAGGGTCAAAATGTGAACACATTACAACACTTTACACAGTCAAAATATGAACACATTACAAACACTTTCACAGTCAAAATGTTAACACATTACAACACTTTCATAGTCAATATGTGAATACATTACAACACTTCCATTGTCAATATGTTAATACATTACAAACACTTCCATAGTCAAAATGTTAATACATTACAAACACTTCCACGTTCAAAACGTGAATACATTACAAACACTTCCACGGTCAAAATGTGAACACATTAGAAACACGTCCATAGTCAAAATGTGAACACATTACTACACCTTACACAGTCAAAATGTGAATACATTACAAACACTTTCAGTCAAAATGTGAACACATTACAACACTTTCACAGTCAAAATGTGAACACATTACAAACACTTTCATTGTCAAAATGTGAACACATTACAACAGTTTCATGGTCAAAATGTGAACACATTACAACACTTTACACAGTCAAAATGTGAATACATTACAAACACTTTCAGTCAAAATGTGAACACATTACAACACTTTACACAGTCAAAATATGAACACATTACAAACACTTCCACGGTCAAAATGCGAACACATTACAACACTTTCATGGTCAAAATGTGAACACATTACAACACTTTACACAGTCAAAATGTGAATACATTACAAACACTTTCAGTCAAAATGTGAACACATTACAACACTTTACACAGTCAAAATATGAACACATTACAAACACTTTCACAGTCAAAATGTTCACACATTACAACACTTTCATAGTCAATATGTGAATACATTACAACACTTCTATTGTCAATATGTTAATACATTACAAACACTTTCACAGTCAAAATGTGAACACATTACAACACTTTACACAGTCAAAATGTGAAAAATTGCAAACACTTCCATAGTCAAAATGTGAAGACATTACTACACTTTCATAGTCAATATGTGAATACATTACAACACTTCCATTGTCAATATGTTAATACATTACAAACACTTTACACAGCCAAAATGTGAACACATTACAAACACTTCCACAGTCAAAATGGGAACACATTACAACACTTTCACGTTCAAAATGTGAATACATTACAAACAGTTCCACAGTCAAAATGTTAATACATTACAAACAGTTTCACAGTCAAAATGTGAACACATTACAAACACTTCCACAGTCAAAATGTTAACACATTACAACACTTTCACAGTCAAAATGTTAATACATTACAACTCTTTCACAGTCAAAATGTGAACACATTACAAACACTACCACAGTCAAAATGTGAATACATTACAAACACTTCCATAGTCAAAATGTTAATACATTACAAACACTTCGACGTTCAAAACGTGAATACATTACAAACACTTCCACGGTCAAAATGTGAACACATTACAAACACGTCCATAGTCAAAATGTGAATACATTGCAAACACTTCCATAGTCAAAATGTGAACACATTACAAACACTTCCACAGTCAAAATGTGAATACATTACCAACACTTCCATAGTCAAAATGTTAATACATTACAAACACTTCCACGTTCATAACGTGAATACATTACAAACAATTCCACGGTCAAAATGTGAACACATTACAAACACTTCCATAATCAAAATGTTAATACATTACAACACTTTCACAGTCAATATGTGAACGCATTACAACACTTTCACAGTCAAAATGTGAACACATTACAAGCACTTCCAGGGTCAAAATGTGAATATATTTCAAACTCTTCCAGGGTCAAAATGTGAATACATTAGAGACACTTCCAGGGTCAAAATGTGAATACATGAGATACACTTCCACGGTCAAAATGTTAATACATTACAAATATTTTCACAGTCAAAATGTGAACACATTACAACACTTTCACGGTCAAAATGAGAACACATTACAAACACTTCCACAGTAAAAATGAGAACACATTATGAACATTCCCACGGTCATATTGTGCAGACATTACCATATTGAATGAAGTTCTGAATCTCTTTTTCGACTTATATTGAATTATTTGTTTCTTGTTTCTAACAAAAGTCTTAAGAGTTAGTCTATCAAAATCCCTACATTCTGTATATAATACAGTATTTCTTCAGCTCGACGTGATGCCTACATTGCAAACATGTGTCCAAGTAACAGCCATCTTAGTCCTCACATTACGCCAGGATCAATATGAACGTTTCGACGTCCCAGTGCCGGTCTCTGTGTGTAACAAGCGGCCCTTGAGCCCAGTCTTCTAGATTGTGTCAGGTATAACAAATTGTCAGGAATAGCTTACTACAATCATAAAAGAAAATAATTACAAAGCCGCACATTTTCAATGGAATCATTCATGACTATTCTTTAAGCGCCGCATCTACTGACCATTCAGTGGTAGCGGTCAACGAGGCCAATTTATTTCCTTTTACCCAGTGGTCGGTCTGACCACTCACTGTACAACTGGCAATAAAACTGGACTGGCCAGTCACGGACTATAAAGGGGCAATCGGGCAGAAACACCCAGACCAGGAGTAAATGAACACATTTGTCATTATGTTGTCTTTACACTGAGGTATTAGCCAACAGCCAAACATACAAAGCGAGCAGACACCTAGAAACAAACAACAACGGCTAGGCGGCGAGGCGTGTTCGATTAGGGTATCTAGGCACCCCATGAAGCGAAGATTGTTATTAAGGCGGCTGCTGAGTTTATGGGTCAGGGCACAGCGAAAGTGTCCAAATTCGCTCCCAGTGCTGATTAAGGGCGATTTGATTACGGTGGTCACTGTCGGGACGAGGGGGGATATGTTTATTGCAGTACAGGAACTGTGTCTTTTATCTCTGGTATTGACACACGTGGTGTTACTGACCAATCATTCTCATATTAGCAGTCGTGTTTATATCACTCAATAAACTTTGGTTAAAAGGCTGCCATGTCCCTACTTGAATTGTGGTATACGGTCCCGAAGTGTTTGCTGTTAGTTTATTGTTCATTTGAAGAAAGAGATGTCAATTTCAAAACTGAAATCTATAGGTGTCGATTTCCTGTCACCACAGTTGTTGATTATGTTCCGTGGGTTTTGCCAGTTATATAAGCTTCCTGTTGAACGATATATGGGCATTGCATTGCACATATCCTAATGCGCTCACACACTAACGATGTCCTAGCAAAACACCATTCTCCTCACACAGCAATTGTACATTTCTCCAAGTTGGTATATCTCTGAAGACAGATATCGCTCTGTGTGGACTGTTTCGTGTGGAGTCACTGCGGTGAAGAAGAACACTTTACATGATTAACAAACTGCTAAGGAAGAGAAAATGCACTAATTTCATTAAATATTTAAAATAATTCACATCAAACTTAGTAAAAAATTAAAACATTTCTTTTGGAATAATCATATCCGAGAATAGCGAACATTTAAAAAGACATTATTTGCATATTAGACAAGTGAGAAATTCAATTTAGTCTTTAAATTAAATACTCTAAACACAAGTGACATCCCGTGAAGCTGTTATGCAGACCGTGTTTCTGTGAGCACGTGCTAATGAGCAGGTAGAGAGGACAGCGATTCCCGATCGTTATCCAGGTATATAGCACCGACAGAAACATATAGTTAAAAGTGACAATTTGTGTTAAATATTCATGAAGCTCGGCCATTGTGGCTTGTCTTGAGTTTCTGTTCAATAACCGTCGTATTCATATCAACGTACATTTATAACTACATATGCACTTGCGATCCCCACAGCTTGTGAATTATTAAACCAATAAACATCTAAAGAGCTGCACGCTGATGAGGCTCGGGCTTTGTCTCCATACAGCATCTTCTGTTATGAATGTTTGCAACATGTGTTGATTTTATGTATGAACATTATTAACTGTTTAATAAAGTAGTGAGACAAAGTCCAGTGCCAGGGTATTGTATAGAGCGTAATGAGTTAATGCTCAATTTTATGTAGTCTGTGTTTACAAATATTTTTCTAAAAAATAGGAACAAATTGGGAATGATAAAACTGAGATTATAAATGCAAGAGTACAAGCGAGTAAGTTTCATTATATTAATTAGAACACACACACCTCTCTCTCTCTGTCTCTGTCTCTGTCTCTCTCTTCTCTCTCTCTCTCTCTCTCTCTCTCTCTCATACCTGACACACACACAATCACGGTTACTGACTGTAATAAAATGATTTTTATCATATTTATGTATTTTTCTGCTATATCGATGCATGGTATACATTCTAGTTTAACTTGAATCTGAGGCAAATTTACTTTAGCAGTTTACATCTTAAATTAAACAGCTACTTATTTAAGTCATTTTAATAGCTTTTCAAATGTCTTTAAACATTGAAATACTTGTAAAACTATTTGCGAATTGCTCTTTATAATGCGGATATATGGTTCCTTCGACAGTAATTCTAACCTGCATGTTATCAATAAATCTAGTGTAATGGCTCCTTAAGAATCTCGAGGTGTAAACATCCTCATCAATATTTAGAATTATTGCAATTCCGATGGTTGTGACAAATTTGAAACATCAGGAGAGGTGTTCCGAGAAATATGTAAAGTTATTTCGATAGGTTCTAATAAATTATTAATCATTCTATGGATATTATCATTACTTATATGAATATTGAATGTTTCAATGTTTGCTTTTAAAAATCGTGAAATTAACCTAAAAAGACGTATGTCTGTTCCACGCTGAGTTTTGCATTTTTCAGTGTAATAATAAACAGGAAGCTATTACTATATGGAAGCGAGTTACCAACAGTAGAATATATCTCGTCGATTGCATGCTCATTAATACATATTTAACCATTTATAACTGATTATTATTATATCATTTATCAACAGCTTTGTATCACATTCACTGACATCAGACTTAACATTTGAATGTAAAGCCGATTAATTCATTTTAATTTTTAGTGTTTTAAAATTGCAGCAGCGCGCGCGTGGGTGCGTGTGTGTGTTTATACTCGACAGCAACCTAAGTTCTCCATTTGGCAAGCACACCCGTCAAAGAGGTTCCATACAGATTTCGGTTTACAGTGCAAGTTCTGTTAACGTTACTTCCTGAATTATTCGCGGTAATTTGATTTGAGTAAGTAAATCTGTTAACATATTCATTTTACAATCTTATCTCATTCTGTTGAGGAATGAAGAAAATGATGATAAGCTCTCGCTGTAACAGTTATCAGTCGCAGATGCCATAAGCACCTGAGTGTCATATTGTCAACGATGTCGATTTCAACTGCCACCTTATATGATGTGTATCACTACATCGACAACTATCTTTGTATATTGCTAGATCAGCTCTGGAAAGTATTTCAAGATTTAAAAAGACTTTATGAATATTCAGTATAATAGCATTGTTGGTACACTGGGTGACTTTGAAATATCAGGGGTGGTATTTGAAATATACATCGCTCCGTCGGTTTTGAAATTGACAAGCCATCGAGGGAGGTCGGATTGAAATTGGATATGGTGACTTATGAATTTATGAGGGAAATCGACTTTATGTCACATTTATCTAGATTAATCATGTTTTTATGTTATCAATAAGAAATGAAGTAAATGAAAAGAAATTCCCTATTTCCACCTCTAACAATGAATAATACTACAAATAAATCGCAATAATTAGATTGTCACAGTGATATCTGTTTTTATTCTTATTCTCTTGGCGAAACCTGTTTGACTTCTTCTGGTTACGTGTTTGCTGCGGGAGGCTGTGGTTGCTCATGGTGCCACTGTTGTCGCTGTTGGTAAAATATTGTTTGCTAATTCCAGGAAATCGACCGTAGAAAGAAAACTATTGCCGAATCATAAATCGAACTCATTTTCAACTCCATGTAATACAAGAAGCATGGCAGCAGCACGTTTGTCAGTATGTTCAGGCTAGGTAGTCACACTGGTCAGGAAACAACAGTATTATACCACCGCCAAATCTATTTCACAGTGCTGGCAACAAGAGGCAGCATCGAGCCTGTTCTAATTTTCAAAATTTACGATGTCAATCTTTTGTTGTAATTTACAAAGTTTGCCGGCGATAATGACATCAATTGTCCGGGGGAGGAAGATGTTGATACAGGTTCTCGTGTCGTTAGCAGAAATTGACATGATTTCTCTACTTTTCCTCCTTCGCATCACCCACCCTGTCATGTTTAGGCGGCGGAACGGATAGCGCGATTTATGCAAATATCCAGGCGATCATGAGCGCTTCTGAGATGGACGTCGCTAACTACTTCTCGCCTGTGTTTACATACGTCGTTTCGAGCTGTCCCTCATTCGATTGGTAGTAAAGAGCAAATCCTAAGTTTGGCAAATCTGGCGTAATCATATTGATTGGGTGGGCATTGTTGCGTAACTATTTCATTTCTTGAGCGGTACTCTGAGCTTTTACCCCATTAAACCTGTCAATATAGATAAGCGCTACCTCGACACTATATTGTCTTCCGTCTAATCAGGTGATGACAAGTCATTAACATCCAACTCTCTCCCGGACCTTCAACATTCATTTACACCCTCTGCCGTAGAAACAGTATTCCAGCAATATACTAATGACATGGGCTTGGAGCCAAGTATACAGGCCTTCTCCGTGTGGTGCTTACTGCACGTGTTGTTATCTGATGAGGCACATCAACGATGTACTGATCATGCATTTATGTACGAATATTCAAGTAGACTGAATCAAATACAGTTCAGCCCATGATATGGGGTAAAGAGACGTCAACATATTCTGCACCGATAGCAAATATGTGAGTGAATTTAGTTTTACGCCGTACCCAGCAATATTCCAGCTATATGGAGGCGGTCTGTAAATAATCGAGTCTGGACCAGACAATCCAGTGATTAACAGCATGAACATCGACCTACGCAATTGGGATACGGTGACATGTGTCACTGGTGGAAGTCATGATCACGGGTATATCAGACGTTACCACACTGGTGGAAGTCATGCTCACGGGTATATCAGACCTTACCACACTAGTGGAAGTCATGATCACGGGTATGTGAGACGTTACCACGTTTGTGAAAGTCATGATCACGGGTATATCAGACGTTACCACGTTTGTGGAAGTCATGATCACGGGTATATCAGACCTTACCACACTAGTGGAAGTCATGATTACGGGTATATGAGACGTTACCACGTTTGTGAAAGTCATGATCACGGGTATATCAGACCTTACCACACTGGTGGAAGTCATGATCACGGGTATATCAGACCTTACCACACTGGTGGAAGTCATGATCACGGGTATATGAGACCTTACCACGTTTGTGAAAGTCATGATCACGGGTATATGAGACGTTACCATGTTGGCGGAAGTCATGATCACGGGTATATCAGACCTTACCACACTAGTGGAAGTCATGATCACGGGTATATCAGACGTTACCACACTGGTGGAAGTCATGATCACGGGTATATCAGACCTTACCACACTAGTGGAAGTCATGATCACGGGTATATCAGACCTTACCACGTTTGTGAAAGCCATGATCACGGAGATATCAGACGTCATGACTTCCGCCAACATGGTAACGTCTCATATACCCGTGATCATGACTTCCACCAACGTGGTAACGTCTCATATACCCGTGATCATGACTTCCACCAAGGTGGTAACGTCTCATATACCCGTGATCATGACTTCCACCAACGTGGTAACGTCTCATATACCCGTGATCATGACTTCCACCAACGTGGTAACGTCTCATATACCCGTGATCATGACTTCCACCAACGTGGTAACGTCTCATATACCCGTGATCATGACTTCCACCAGTGTGGTCAACGTCTGATATACCCGTAATCATGACTTCCACCAACGTGGTAACGTCTGATATACCCGTGATCATGACTTCCACCAGTGTGGTAACGTCTGATATACCCAAACAGTACTCCCACTGTTTTATCATGATAAAGTTGTGCACCTACTTGTAGGTATCCCGGAACAACCAAACCGTCACATCACAGTGTTCACCCATGTTTAGCGGTGTGTAAAACCCCAACAACCAGGAAATGCGTATTAGATGGTGATGTAATTGATACGGACATGATATATGTTTCGACGACTGTTGTCAGTAACGTTTTGATAGTTTAGCACTTTGGGGAGAAATATATTGAGTGCATACTTTCTGTTGACCTGTAGTATCTTTCAAAATAATTATATTACATTGTGTCAGATGGTTATTTAAAATGAAACGCTTATGATAAGTTCGTTGTTAAGTTGGGATACAATATTACTTTCTGTAGCCGTACTTGTAGTGGGCACATCGGGAAAGTTCCCACTCTGAACACGTGGTTGAAATATTTATTTCCTTGTAAGAAAACATACATATCACGATGTTCTAGCGAGATTGCTGCACGTGTGTGTGCTAACTAAATGTCAGTCATTAGTAGTGGATAGCACCATGGCGTGTATGCTGGCAGCAAACGGGAGAACCCATGTATAAAACATGAAACTTACAATTGGATACTGAAGAAATATATATTTTTAACAAATGTTCGTGATAATGAAGTGATACGGTGGATCAAAAAGAAGAATTCTACCATGTTATCGTAAGGAATTATGCATTTAAAAATACGGCACATACGTGTAGCTGCTAGTGTAGGTTCCTGTATACTGACTGTGTTGACATGAGTCGAGGGACTACTGTCAGCGGCAGTGCCAGTACATAGTCGGAGAGGCTGCAGATGTATCCCCACTACGTTTACGCTGCAGAAGGGGCGGTGGGGTAGCCTAGTGGTTAAAGCGTTGGCTCGTCACGCCGAAGACCCGGGTTCGAATCCCCACATGGGCACAATGTGTGAAGCCCATTTCTGGTGTCCCCCGCCGTGATGTTGCTGGAATATTGCTAAAAGCGGCGTAAAACCAAACTCAGTCAGTCAGTCAGTGTACGCTGCAGATGTATCCCCACTACGTTTACGCTGCAGATGTATCCCCACTACGTTTACGCTGCCATGCCCGTCAGTCATAATTCACGTATGAATATGGTCCATTTTTTGTTTTGATACATTTTCATTTAAACTTAAAATTATTGAACATTTGTTAAATGGTTGCAATTTCAAACATATGCTGCATAGACTTCCTTGACAGACATAGAAGCAGCACCAGCATCAGGAAGTCGGGTTACGAACTGGGCCGAGGTGTGACGAGATGAAAAATGGCGGTATGACCGTCCGCTTGAGAAATCCAGCTTCAAAACACAAAATTTCGTCAAGCTGAAAATTCAGCACAATGTAACTCCACGACATATGGCGATTTTACGACGAGAAAAAATCATACCGATAACAGCATGATCAGAAGAGTCGACTGTAATTGTTCAAGGAACTTACGAAAGTTCAACGAGTAAACCTCAAAATAAATTGCATGCTAATACACCCGTTTCACGAGCAGCTTTGTGTGGGAACCGTGTAACCAAGAGTGCAGCAACCCATAACGCCCCTGTGAACGTACCCTTACGGGTGCTGGATTGTGTCCTTGCTGGGGGGGACGGGCTGGCTATAGCCCATCTCACCCCGTCCCCTGCTGATAACGTACTCTATTCTAAAACACCATGGTACTGATTAAACTTTGGAAGAAGAAAATCGACATAGATTTGGAAATTTATGACCTCCTCTATTTCCACATTATCTCATGGTTATCGAGAAAAACATTTTAGGCTGTGAAGAGGCAGTTCAAAAGAAGCGTAAACCTTCTTCTCTGGCTAATAATTTCAATTAACAATTTTGCCGAGTCATATTTAAGATGAAGTAGTTCCGAGCGGAGATAATGGGGTAACGTGGGATGACTCTTCTCACCTGGCGGCGACTTCAAAGACATCTGGTGATATTTACCTGTACTTTACCTGGTCGCTGCTCTTTGTTGTTTAAAAGGAGTAGACGATAAATATCGCTGGTTATTTTGTAATAAAAATAGTTAGTGGAAAGAATATTTGATATCAAAATATGCTATGACAATCCTACATCGCCCTTCTAGAATAACTGCCTGTGTTGTAGAAATCTATTTACGAAAGTGGCATGTTTATTTGTCTGCTGTTAAAACGCTTCATGGGTGTTGATACAAGTAGATGAAACGACCAAGTTGTTGGATGGACTTTGAAGCAGTACTTACGCTCTCTCAACTGTAGACATTGTTTATGAATATTGATATCGTAACTATAAAATAGGTTCGTACTGAGTGCAACCGCGCGAGTGGTTGACAGGAATATGGCATCTTCAAACATTGACAGTCACAGTCAATGAAGCGTGAAACTAAACATCATATCGATCGTTTTGTCAGATGTTCGAATATTTGTTCAGATTGAACTTAGCAAAACACAATGTAATGTAATGTAAATGTTGATTAAGATTTTGTAACGAACGGTGTTTATGATCATCCTGTATTTATTATCTTTACTAAATCAAATCAAACGTTTGGCAGTTTCAAGTAGAAAAACGCTAATATACTACTCTAGCTGATGAAATTCATTTTGTTACAGGTGAAATGTACAATGGATATTCACGTCATCTGTGACTTACTTTTTTATTACTTGTCGAGCGACATTTGTACTGATTACTACTCTTTTCATTATCAAAAATTATACATTTGTATAGAATCGTAGATGGTATTAAATATGAAATTAACAAGGTCATTTACATTTTGTGTCGGCCGTTCTGTCCGTCAAATCAGAAATCGAGGCACAGCACAACGCCTTAACGTCATACGCTTGGCTGGAAGCAGATTACAATAAAAAAATTTATTGACATAAACCTCTACCGTCTCGTTTTCATCTACTGACATCAATTGGCAAGCAGAGAAAAGACGTAACGTGGATGTGAATAATTAACTCAATCTGATAGACGATCGTTCATTGTTTCGGCACTGACACCCCACGCCGACACTCGGCACAGATGTTGGAGCATACACATTTTCTCAATTATTAAATTTCAATTTCTTGTCTCAGTGGTTGTAAAAGGAGGTAAGTTTCAGATCAGTAGTTTCCGTGACTTGTAATCTTCACGCCACCACCCCTCAAACCTCATAGGAAACACCTTGTTAATAGCTTATTCCTTAGTCATTCAATACCTTCATTGAGATACCGACAATCCACAATATCAGTATTGTTCATTTCCAATGATTATGATACAACTTGGAAGTTGTCCTCGGAAATTACAACTTTCAGTCTCGATACATAATGTATTTCAAAGTGACCTGAATCGAGACATGACAATGAACGAAAAGCGGAGAAATATCTGAAACGAGCACAAAAACAAAAGCACAAAGGGCATTGCAAAAAACAATATACCACTATGTATAAAAACATAAATTGCTATAGATATATGTTTGTTTTATTTCAGAGCCTATCTTTACTAAAACAACTCATAATTGTAATCCACAGGAAACATTTATAACATGTTTGCATGCATTATATATAACTATATATATATTGGTGGAGTTGGGAGTGGATTAACACTGGTTTCCATATCATGCAGCATGGGGGTGATTGCGAGTAAGGAGGTACATTGTTTGTACAACTTATTCCCGTTGTTTATATTGGGTGCAGATAGCTAGCTAGAGCGGGTGTCCCTGGTGTTGATGGAAATATATGCCACTGCCTCCGTGAGTGTTGACACCTCGAGAGGCGTGACATACCTACCATTGGTCTGTTCCACGGATACATACTATAGGCGTACGTGTAGTGACAGAAGCTGGGAAGGAATCTGCCAATATGATAGCTACTCATGCCGTCATGCGCTTAATTACTGCTTCACAATTTTTACTTTTTCGTATGCTGTAATTCACTTCAGATGAACTTCCTCGATTTACACCTTCTCGAGAGTGCAACCAGCCTCGACTTGGCGCTCGGGGCGTCGCGGTCCTCGACATGACACTTCTTGCTGCATACATGACAGTGTTGCCAAGTGTTTTGTGACGCTACCACATACACGACATGGCACATGGCAGCAATACAACACGAATCATTTTACAGTTGTGTCAAGACATCAAGTTACGTTGTTGAGGTCTAATTACTCTGTGGAGACATTTAAACTCGGAGTTGGAACTGGCATCTTCTGTTAAGCATTTCTTAACTCTGACTTTATGTCATATCTTAAACGTTAATTCTGTATTTCATGCACAATATACTGCACGTGCTGCACCCGTGTCTATGCATTTTGCACGATATGCAATGCATAACCAGTAGTTTTCATGCAGAACGAATTTCATGAGAGTAAGTCATTTGATATTGGGCATACTATTTTTTCTTAATAACCCACTATTCCTGTAGAAATTGTATATAAGCTAGAACATTGTTATATAATAGTTCTCTGGCTCAACTCCGCCCAACATATGTCAGCGTATTATCACAGCGATATTGTATTGTTATTTTATTTTTATTCTTTTTCATCTTCTATTTCATAGCATAGTTATAGGTCGGAGAACAGAAAAACGTCCACCAAAGACAAATTGAAGTATGGGTAGTATACCTAATTCCTTCAGACCTAAGTCCATGTTGTGGAAATATCAGGTTCACCTTATATGTTTGATCTCGCTGGTTGCATTTTTCTTGTTTGAGTCTATATTCAGCAATGTTCCAATGGTATGACGGTTGTCTGTAACAGTCGAGTCTGGGCCAATGCATGTCATGACGGACATCTATCTAGGAAAAGTAGTACGATCACATCCGTCAACCAAATCAGCAAGTCTGACTACCCGATCCCGAACACAAGCATGGGCTGCTTTAAAAACTTTCGTTTTAAGGACTTCTTGCAGGAACCACAGCCTCGAACATAGGTTGGGAATCCTCTCTACGTCCCATCTTCCAGTCATTCCAAAGGTTGCCCAAAGGGACCTAGGTCTACAAGCTTCGAAATATCTTTACAAACATATAAGTGGGTACTCCAAGTTAATTGTCAAAATGTGTACTATGCAACTATCTGAATATACTTTTATTGAATTAAATGTACATGTATAGACATAACAGGAAAGTAACGTCGTTTATTTGCTAAAACCACTTTCACAACATGTCTGTGTAAGCATTTAATATCAAATACACACTAAGACAAAACCGTGTGTGCGCGTTTGTGTATTTGTGTGTCTATCTATACCTATTCAAGTATTCACTTTTCACTTTAAACATTCACACATTCCACTAGTTTCAGTTTTGAGATATCATTCAGTTACGTGAATTTAAGTGAATTATATACGTCAAGCATGTTATCGACACATGCCTATTTCGGTGTCAATTTCTCCACTCAGTTTCTGGCATTGTTTCTTCATTACGAGTTGATAATGCTGCTGATTGATTCGCGAACACGATGAGTTTCATGACACAGACGTTTTGCCATGTGACAGGCCTTGCAAGGCTATCGACATGCTCGGTTTCACCACAATGACAGAGACGCCAGTAAAATTGCTACTTGGGACATCATTAGTGATGTAAAACGCGAACGAGACGGGACATAAACGCGCTCATACGCGGAGAGCAAGTCCACTGCTGTAAAAATACTATCAATATTTCATGACAATTAAAATGAAGACGAAACGTGAACCTAATAGCCTTTGTAGATGTAGTTATACCTCGCTCTAGAAGGTAACCCATTGTTGTGAAATCTACACTGCCGTGCAATTGACGATCTGGCTATTGACAACTGTTGTCATCTGGCTGGATTTCTCAGCATTAATGCCTTAGAATTGTAAGACGTTAAAACTTCAGGAAATAATATCATATCCTTGGAGTTATTTGCATTTGTTAACATAAAGAATGCAAAAAGATTTTTATGCATATAATTTAGAATCATTTTCGGTCATAAATCTTTGTATGTGACTGAGTTAGGTTTATCTATAATTGTAGATATCTGTGGTAATAACAGGGCAAATGTGTGTGAACGTAGATGGGGATAAACAGATTTGGGATGAGAAAAGCACATGTGTAATATCCTACTGAAGCTCAATAAGGACAGTATTTATGACACCAGAATCATCGGATTTTTCGGTGCATGTTCAAGTAATTGATCAACCGTACTTATAATCACTCCCCGCTATTGTCCGGTCACAAACTCTGACGTTACAAGACCATTAACTTGATAGTTGATGGCTTTAAACCAACAATTTCTTTCCCAATAAACAGAGTTAATTCCCTGACTATCAACTCCACCACACAACCTGTTCGTGTAATCTTTTATAATAAAAACCTTGAATAAAGTATGTTATATGCAATGCTTAAGACCAAAATCGGCTGGGATTTCAAATATGACAAGCATGTGACAATAAAAAGCACGCTTTTTTGTAATAGCAAAAGACTGAAAAGAAAAGAATATTTAAACATTGTGCTATATGTCAATATGTCTGTGATATTTTTGTCAAAATGAATTTCACAAAACATATTGCTTATAAATTAATTAAATTGACAACTCCAAGCCTTGCACGTGGCAAATTCATCTCAGAAGACATATTTACATTCACCCCATTTAACTCAGGCATGTCAATTTCGCCTATCCAAAAATATTTAAGATCTGAAAAGTTAGATTTTCAGTTCAATACAATGATTTAAACGTTGACAGTCTACAATAAAATAATCAATATTTAAAAAGCCTTGAGAAGGGGGGGAAATAACATAATTTGTATCGATCTTTCATGTCATTCGATAGCACAGCTCATTGTTTTCTATTTTCACAAATCATAAACAGTATAGATATGAAGCCTGCTCGCGGCCCTGGGCAACATGTCGCACAACTGTCACATCGGTAATTACATTTGTTATTTCAGGTTGTCAATAATATTCTTTTCAAAGATGCAATTTGCGCATACCTTCCGTGTACATTCTTTTTATCGTATTACATTTAAATCAGAAATATTTGTGTCACAGACATTTGTGGTAAACCTAAATTTTTTTATATACCCCAGTTCTTCATTACACAGTCATCAATGTCTATTTCAATACGGCAGTTGTCAATACCGTATTTCACATTTCAATATGGTAATCTAGGAGTTAGCGAAGCAGGCTGATGCACCTGACAGGCCATACCTATCACATGTAAGCTCCATTAACAGCTACTATTCCTACATAAACATTTACGTTTTGCTTGGACGCTGAAATAGGAGAGCTCGGTTTTCTGTAAGTTTGGCTACAGCATTGCTCGAAGTGGCCAGCTCAAACAGGAATACAATGTTTTTGGGACAAAGGCAGTTTCAACATTAAATCTTGTGACAACTACCGTCCATCTTAAACCATACCGTTTTTTACAAGATGTCTCATCGATAAAAAAAATATGTGTAATTAATTAAGTGAGCACGATAAATGGAATTGTACTAATATGCGATTGCATTATTCCAAACTGATATGTTGATATCTTTTTCGGAGACCGAATTATGATACCATTTTAACTACGTGAAATTTCACAAATACCCGTATAGTGCCTACTGACCGACACCCTGTACACCTACAGAACACATTGATGGTGTAAGTGTACACGTACACACAAGTACACGGTATGTATATTTAGTAAAAAAACACTTGCATTACAAATTGCTTTTTCCTCTTTGATCTGTTCAGGTAGAGCGGAACTAATGAAATATGAAAATGAAAAGAACAAAGCGATATTGACCCCGTGTTTAGTACAAGCTATTATGAAAAGCGACCATTTGGATTTTTTTCTAAATCCTCGAAAATTCTGGATCTACGAGTTGCTTGAACTTATAGTCACAAGCCAGCTGAGCTAGTGTCTACACTTGAGAGTTGAAGAATTAGACGACATGGGGCGTCTCTCTATTACTCAATTTTGTTGAAGAAGGTTTAACATGGTTTCATCACCGCACCAACCGAAACACTGAATAATATAGTCATGTTGAAAACGTGTTGTTGACGTGTAAATCGGTGGATCCTGTCGGCCTACCTCAGTGGTATCAATGTTTCATGTAAACCTGGGCAGCGGAAGACATTTCAGTAAAATAGCTATATACCCGACATCACAAATGGCATGTACATTTCTGAAATAGATACCATTGAGTGATTGACACATGATGCTGATATACACACGACTGGATCGCACTTAGCATAATGTGCGTTATAAAGACGGCAGTTAACAACCGAGTAAAGAACCGTGTTATACGGGATACCTCTCTACAAATACCCAGCAAACTTCATTGGAATACGGTTTAGCGTGTTGCATTCATTTTTACACCTATTAAATGTTTTGTTTCAGGATAAAGAAATGTAATACTACAATAAACATTGAGGTCTAGGTGGATATGCTTTGTTAAGACTGGCTGTATCAGATCCTGTTTTGTCATGGTGGCCTGTTATCGGAGCATTTTTTCTCACAGAAAAAGAAACACGTATTTTTTAATATTACACTATATATTCTATATATGTATACATATTCTTGAACAGAGTGAAAACTACTTTTCAAAGGTGAGTGAAAAAACGTTAAACATATTTTGTCGTGTAAATATTAGTGATATCTCCTCTTTTACTTTCCTGTGGCTTAAATCTTCGGAATACATGTGTTTGCCCTGAATCGTGTAAATATTGTGACCGATGACTATAAGTTGTCATGTTATTGTGTTCTTCATACTATCTGTAAATTACCGAATAATATGCTGAAACATAAAGACTAAAAATATCATATGTTATAAGCTTAAATTGGGAATCGGATATGCGTTTGCTGTGGATGCATTTAGCATAACAGAGAGTTGCATGAACAGACAAGAGCGCGTCCACCAGATCAACTCGAGAAACACGAATTTGTCGTAGGGATTTTATATACGCTTCTATCACTAAAGCGCGACTCATACGTTGTTTTCTAAATCAGCAGAGGAGAACTGATAGTTTAAGCAGTGTTCCATACAGACTCATGCCGTTAGACATCCAGCCGAATGTGCAAATGTTTTCACTTCTTTTATTGAAGCACGCGAACGTTT